TATGTAGAACAATAGGTAGAACAATGTGTAGAACAATACGTAGAACAATGTGTAGAACAGAGTAGTTCAATATGATGATGTTATATACTGCACTGTCGATCCTACATGCCAGATCTAGATTCCAGCACAACATTATTCTCCATACATACAAGAGAAATTAAGACCGCTTTTCTCAAACGTGTTGCGCTACTCCATCATTGAGACATAAGGTTCCCGAGAAGATGGAAGAACGGGCAGATCATATAGCTTGTAGATAAATGTTGAACTTAGCCAAATTCCAAACCCTCAAAGTGAACGCATGGGAGTACCAGTATTTCCCCTACACTTATTATCCACGTTCACTTTAATCAAGGTGCACATGCACAAATTGAATTTTACATAGTTAATTAATATTACACTGAAAACGTCTGCTTAACTCAAATATTGTTTATCTCGGCAGTTTTTCCTACAGGCTGCAATCAGACGCCTAATGTGTTAGGATAATACCCACCGTCCCCCGCTGTTTTATATCACTGACTGCATACTCTCAGGTCATGAACAGACACAGTCTACGTCTATGCGCCAAGACAACGTCAATCTATGTCTACACATCATGACAAGGCCAATGTACGTCTACACTCCATGGCAACGTCAATATACGTCTATACACCATGTCAACATCAGTCTAGGTCTACATTCCAAAGCAACGCCAATGTACGTCTACACACCATGACAACATCAGACTAGGTCTGCATTCCAAAGCAACGCCAATGGACGTCTAGACTCCATGGCAACGTCAATATACGTCTAGACACCATGTCAACGTTAGTCTAGATCTACATTCTAAAGCAACGCCAATGTACGTCTACACTCCATGCCAACGTCAATGTACGTCTTCACACCATGACAACGTCAGTCTACGTCTACACACGATGGCAACGTGAATCTAGGTCTACATTCCATGGCAACGTCAATGTACGTCTACACACCATGACAACGCCAGTCTACGTCTACACACGACGGCAACGTGGATCCATGTCTACACACCATGGCAACGTCAATGTACGTCTACACACCATGACAACGCCAGTCTACGTCTACACACTTTGCAAACGACGTCACCGTGATCGCTTCAGTACCACCCTCCCCTCCGTTCTGTGACCTAACATCAAATGTTCGGTGTCTAAAAGGGTTCGGAGTATGTACACAACATGCAATTAATTCCTAATGAAGTATTACCAAAGTACTTGTTCCATGCTACAGCGGTCTGTAATTTGATAAATACGAATTAAATAACGCACGTAGCTTAATGTGAATAAATGAATCAAATTAAGAAGCAAAGGGGATTATTAACACGAACATCTCGGTGCATACCTTCAGATGGCAAAGTGTGACAGGCAACACAACTCACTAGAACTTGCTGTCGGGTGAAGGGAGCGTGTTTCTGGAAACCCAGACATGTCGGCCTCTCAGTACACGAGAAGGTACTTCGTTATGATACAAAGGGAAAGCTGGAGTTGGTACACTTTCACCTTAGTCGTGAGATGTGTTTGGTACACGTACCTATTGCATTATTGCAAAGTTGACTCGATTGAAGAGTATCTCAGGGCTCTCTGCTTCCTACAAACACCCTGAACAAGTCGTTGCCGTTTCTTCGTTTTGTCCTCTCGTTGCAGGAATGTGGACGATATTTTCAATGAAAACATTACTTAACAAACTTGAAGATGTCTTTAAAATGAGTAGCATCTACAGAATCATTTGTGCGCTGTGTTGTTCCAGCGCTTCACACTAAATGGTAAACACGCTCATTTGTTGCACGTATCACGTACGGCCAAAAATGAGCAGTTAAAAACGCGAGAGTAGTTGTTTAAAGAACGCGACGGGACTGTAAGGGTACAGTCAACAGGCGCATGCTTGGTGAAAAAATACCTTCTTGAAAGCCGGTATCCGGGTGAAGTTGAGAAATTAATGGCGGGTGGATAGGCAAGTGAGGTGGCTGGGGAGAAAGGGTTGAAATTTATCACTAAAATGACGACAGGTGGAATCAGCCCCTGTGAATGATGGCATATTTTACCCCGATAGTCGGGACGCTCGGTCAACTAAAAATTGCCAATCTCTTGTACATTGCCAAATATCTATCATTAAGAATGTCTACACGCCTTCCCAATTCTCCACGTGTCAGGGGAATAAATTATTTTGTGTCATTTTTCTCTCTCCCAACTTCTTTGTAATATTTTGAAAAAGGGCAAAAATCAATGGTGTGTCTATATAAACATTTCAGATGCTCATATATAAGATACGTTCATAGCCTCTATGTTTATATCGTACATGACAGTGATCTCATACACCTCTACATGCGGCTGTCCGTTGTGTCAACCTGGTTGAAATGTAGGCTAATACTGATTTATTGATATGCCTGTCGCGAATAGCTGCAGAATAACTGGCACGGTATAAAAACAATCTTCATTCCCTAATCTCGAAATCGCTGAAATTGTTGGTAGTATCCTACCCACCGAAATATATATGTATTTGAAGCGTGTGACGGGCGTTGTATCAGCTGCCCTGTAAGCCATGTTTCACTGCGGCAACGTCGTGAGCTGCCGAGTTCAGGCAACGTTGTATAAGATAGACGAGGTAACGAGGCTTACGGCCGTCAGGGGAGGGAGTCAAGTCAATTCCTCTAAGCACCTGCTGTGATAGCGCAACCCTGGGTTCTCGTCAGGGTTATCCTGTACCACTCACAACCATATAGAACGTAGTTCGATCAAGGTTATAAATTACTGTCAACACTGGATAAAGAGTGGTTGCAGCAAAACTGTGAGTGAGTGAGTGAGTGGAGCATAAAGCTTTAGCAAAGACTGACGGCAGTCGCCGAGCTAACATCGCTTTGTTAACGGGGCCTGCTTGTAGCGATTGCTTGTATATATCCCGGCTTATGAAACAGTGAATACACGCAAGACACCGAACTTCCCGACACCGCATGCAATAAATAACAACACATAATTAGTATATGGTAAATCACAGATCGGTAAATCCTTATTGTATAAATGAGTACACAGAAATGCAAATTCAGAAGAAATAATAATGTCACAAATTGACATCGTGATTTAAACTTGATACACTGGTATCAGGATTTATTGTGATAGTTCCAACAGCGATATACAGGTAATGGTTTCTATATTCTACTGGTGAGCCAAGCTTAGTGTCGGGTGCGTCTCGCTCCATGTCGGTATCAAGTGTAAGTCCGTAAACCTGAGGCCTCCTGCAGTGACTGTGGTCGCCCCTTATTGCTATGTATGTATGCGTGTCGGATCGCTGTGTCTATTATCAAGACTAATAAAGTTGGAGTCGTAGCGTTGTGAGGGGATTCTGGAGAACACTCGGGTATACACATGGTACATACGGGGTGTACACCGTTCACAGCGACCCCTGGCGGACCTGGCAGATGATTCACACCTTCTGATTCATATTTCGGTATGCTCGTGACAGACAGGTCGCGCAACATGTGCAACCCATGTCAACATATCGCGCAACAGATACAGCTTATGTCAACATGTCATTCAGTGGCATAACTAGGTGTGAAGAATAAAATCACATTAATCTGCAATCAGTCAGGACGTTTGTGTGCGTGCGTGCGTGCGTGCGTGCGTGCCTGTGTTTGTTGTCTACCTGCTACTGCTAACATGACGTAATGAGTCGTGGAAAGAACGATTGGTGGAAAGACTAATTCTTGAATGTACCAAAGAGTTACGCGCAAGGTTCACGTCACGCTAACAACACACACGGACACGCCGATTTGTAACTTCAGATACGTAATGTACGCCGGCGTGTTTCTTCACATACGTAGTGTACGCAGATGTGTAACTTTTGATACGTGCTGTACGCCGATGTGTAACCACAGACACGTAATGTACCGGTTTGTTACTTCAGATACGTAGTGTATGCCGAATCGTAATTTTTGATACGTAGTGTACGCCGAATCGTAATTTTTGATACGTAATGAACGCCGATGTGTAACTTGAGGTACGTAATGTACGCCGATGGGTTACTTTAGATACGTTATGTAAGCCGGCGTGTTACTTTAGAGATGTATACTGTACGCCGATGCGTACTGTACGCGGATGTGTCTATGTACACGCCACCAGCTATGAAACTGTGGCCGCTGCTTCCAGCAGTTGCAGTAAATATATACCATCTACTGGAGTGTTGCCACTTCGTCGCTAGTGCTTCTCCCCAACCCCAACCCCTGCCACAGCTGCGACTCAATAAACCTGATGAAGAATACCCCCTGAAGCTGCTCAGTCAACCTCCTCAGCAGCAGGCTAACTCAGAGAGGTACTTGAGACAGATTTCTCCCCATCCTCTAATTGTGATGTCACAGCCGTGTTTTGTCCCCTGTCAAGCAGGTGTGTTACCTGGCATACAAGTCATATGATTTACCTGTACAGAAGATGCTGTTTGCCAAGGTGTACGTACAGAAAGTAGTACCCTCCAGGCCATTTATTTCAATTTCGAGACACGGTGATGTGTGTACAGTCTAGTTCGTGGCAGACCACGGTGTAATGCGATGGAACACTGTTTAGTCAAGCTCAAACTGAAGACTAAATGTTATAAATGGTTTAACGTCGCAGCGATATGAAAGATAATTGCCCGACCTCTCCTGCTATATTGAAATATCACGTGTAATGCGCTGTGTCCACGCACGGCTGAAGGTCAAGCTTGGTGCTGACACTAAACTGGCACTGAATAGGCGTTTATCGTAGGAGTCTACGTGAATGCCCAACTCCCACGGATACTGAAAGTTGTACTAAGTAATACGTAAATGTACGTTATCGTCTCGTGGTGTCATCTCTTAATAAATTAAGATCCGTGCTGATATTTGCATTCACCAAAAGGCTCAGAAACCAAACATAAGCTATACGTATCCTCAGTACATGTACATGGGTGATCAGTACTCTCAACCTGATCCCCACCCTCCGCCCACCCTCCCCCCACGCCCGCCCCACCCACACTGTACTCACCGGGGGCTCGATAGTTCCTACTCTCTGGGTGATGGGGTCTGTGTCCACCACCTCCACGCGACAGTCCACCCCGCGTCTGTCCCTCACGAACACCAAATCCTCTCGCTCAAAGAACACCGACCGCCCCACATTGACGGTCAAATCTCGCTTCCTCACGAGAATCTGGCCTTGCACTGCCCAAGATAAGGCTAGGGCCATCACTATGCGTAGAGTATCCATAGTCATTGTATAATCCTGGCTACGACACGTCCTGGGGGCTTATTGTATCCAAGAACATTGTATCGTGTGTCTGAAACAATAGAGATTTCATGTTAGCATTTCGTCCAAGGTGTGCACAGGTAAACCTCTCCAGCACGAACCTCCTTACAACAAACACCTCAAACTCGGACCATCATCACCTGGTCAGGTTGTCCCTAACTAGCTGTGGACCAATGAGGTGTGAGAATATGCTGGTGAGGCTTGGTGTAGTTAATAAAACGAATGATTAGGCTGCACTTTATCCATCCCATGGTTTCCTGGACGAATGTACTCCCACCTCAACCTGGTCCCCGGGTACCCATATTACGACAGCTTAGGTAGTGTTTAAGTAGCTGGTCCCCAGGTACCCATATTACAACGGCATAGATAGTGTTAAGTGGCTAGTCCCCGGGTACCCATATTAAAACGGCATAGATAGTGTGGTTAAGGAGCTTGTCCCCGGGTACCCATATTACAACGGCATAGATAGTGTGGTTAAGGAGCTTGTCCCCGGATACCCATATTAAAACGGCATAGATAGTGTGGTTAAGAAGCTTGTCCCCGGGTACCCATATTACAACGGCATAGATAGTGTTAAGTGGCTAGTCCCATGGTACCCATATTAAAACGGCATAGATAGTGTGGTTAAGGAGCTTGTCCCCGGGTACCCATATTAAAACGGCATAGATAGTGTGGTTAAGGAGCTTGTCCCCGGGTACCCATATTACAACGGCATAGATAGTGTTAAGTAGCTAGTCCCATGGTACCCACATTAAAACGGCATAGATAGTGTGGTTAAGGAGCTTGTCCCCGGGTACCCATATAACAACGGCATAGATAGTGTTGTTAGGTAGCATGTCCCCGGGTACCCAATTATAGCGGCATAAATATAAACTGTTAAATACCTGGTCCCCGGGTACCCATATGACAGCGGTGTTGCTAGGTAGCCCGCATCCCGATAACCACTGACAGATCTCACTACACTGTGAGCAGCTCCAGCGACCACGACAGCAGCACTACGACAATGCGGGTGCTGTATGCACACATGCATATGACACGGGTGGTGCGGTAACGCCACACTTAACGCCTGCGAGGTGTGAAAACGTGTCCCCATACTTTATTCCATGTCGGCGTACACAGCGGAGAACATATATTACCTAATGAATATCAAACAAAACGTGTGTACGTGCAGAAAATAACTTATTCCGTGCCTGCTGACTGAGTAGATGAGAACGAACAGGCCCCCTGCAGAGTAAACAATGATCCAGGCCACATGCAATGTGCCGACATACCCCGGCCTTGTCCCTCCTACACATGTGTGCTGTCACTGACGGAAAACAGTAAACATCATCAGTGCTAATTGGAGGTATCATTCCCTGAGATGAAACTATTACTGCGAATGGAAATAAGCCATGAAACTGGAATAATATTCACGCTGGCACCTTTACCTTAACAACTATGAACAGCAACATGTCACAGCGCATTCCCAAGTCTCTGTACAAATAATTGGGAAACTATTTTTGTATTAAAAACGATGGATGCTCGGATTTCTTTTTAGCAATACCTCGCAAGAGTGTATTCAGGTACGGCTAAGGCACATAAACAGAATCACCACAACACTATTACATGAAATGTCATGTAACTCCACGTTACAAAAACACAGGTTTTTCTGAGAACACAGATGTCAGGACAGTCCTGCACCATGACCGTGGAATATATATATTTTTGAGAAAAAAACAACCCAAAATAGATATGCATACAAAAGCAAGTCTAGCTAGCTCTATTCCACATAATTGTTTAATTTTTGAGGCAAGAAGGGTAGTGTGTAACATAAGATTACATAGACTTAACGTTAGTCCAATGTCATGAATACACCGTTTTCTACGTATATATTAGAATATATATACATGTGAGAATTCAGCGTCTGTAATGAAACAGATACAAATGTCATCGTTCGGATTTACAGATTTCCGGATTAACGATATTATAAATTATAACCAAGTATGATAAATTTGACTTGGCTTACGAGGTTGAGAGAGTGTCCGGATTAGCCGGGTTTCAATGGACGCGGGATGAGCGTTCCCACGAAGTCTGGAGTGAGCAACATCACACGCTGGGGAGAGTAATTATGAAGCTGCATCCAGGGGGGCAGAGAGAGAGGGGGGGGGGGGGGGGGGGGGGAGTCCCTGTTGTGCAGCATGTATGTGAGCTACACAGAGACAATGGTATAATAACTTATCACGCTGCCATTTCGCTTTCACCTCTCCTCGTTTGATCGTCAAGGGGCTAAGGAAAAATGTCACGTTATTTGAACAGGGAGGTTAGGCGTCCTTACTGCTGTTATTGTAATTGTTGAAACTCGAATTAAGAGCAACGCATTTGGACTTTCACCTCTAATGCTTTAAATAAAATAAAACATGTCTATTGAACATTCTTCTGAAGTAATACAAATATTGCAATTACCAAGTAGCGTGTTGCTGCACACTTCAAGCCGTATTTTGTTACAAGGCACACACAACACACATATCGTCAAGGGTAATTCATGTTGATTCTAACAAACTTTGGATATAATAATTAACTTCAAACGAGCTGCCTTAAATGAAGATTCTGGACAGGAAATGATGTTGAAATGGAGACTGCTTGAAGTGGTGGCTACCTCTGCCGATATACCTGCCCCCACAGGCTCGGATTGGTTCACCCCCCAGCAATGATCGGCTCCCATCACACAGGAGGCATGTCCCCCTTTCTCTGGTATCATTCCAATAACACATAATCCCTACAATCACGCACTATAGTCATCGAGAGAGATCACATCGCTTCTCCTTATTTCAAATCGTGGCTGGATAATTGTCTTCCCTCCGACACAATGATGCGTTAAACATTTCGTCATTTGATACCCGTAAAACGCCACATCTCCCTTCGATTAAGAAATCTGAACCATCTCTCTCCCAATCCCACTTTATTCATAAAAGACCGACGGTGCATGCTTTGCCATGTTGAAATCCGGCCGGGGTTTTATTGCGTTATAATGGTAAATGATTTAACATTGGGGCTTTTTTGTCAGCGGAAAACACGCTAAATCTAGGAGACTTGCACCTAGGACAACAAACTGGAAATTTAGCAGACTTGGGTTTCAACAACCATATTCGTGAAATCAACAAACGGATAGATATCGAATGTGTTTATATAACAAGACGGAATACATTAACACATACTACCAAGGTAGTTTCACACTCACAATACACAGTTATCGTCGATGTTCCTGCTAGCGTCTAGTTGTTTTTTTTTACACACATACAGGTTATTTCAAATGTGAATATTTAAAAAAAACAAAAAACGACATAGATGTTGTTTAGATGATGAGCTCTCACGCATATTGTACACTCAGAAGTTGGGTATTTAGAAAGTCCTTACTTCCCCTTCCATGGTATAACGGCGTTATGTTACAAATGTTCACAGCGTTTAGAGCAGAGCACGCGCTGACTTGAAAATTGTAATCCTTGACAATAAACATGAAGCTGGGATCTTCGGTTAATTAAAATCTGACACTTATCATAAAGTCTTAAATCTGCGGTGATCAAACTAAACGTGATGATTCCTCGGTTGCCGGCCAGTTATCAACAGGAGTTTTATCGCTCGGTTTATGAATTATATAATCCCGACTTACGTGCCCGAGAGCGGAGTAAAGGAGGCACGCATTGAGCCGATACTTGTAGTAGATGAGATACAACAGCACGGCGAGTGTTAGATGGTGGCTATATATGCCTATTACTTAAACTCGTAAAGATTGACATATTTGTGAGATGCAATCAGTTGGGCGATACAGAACGGGGTGGGATGGCCTGTCAGTCTGTCTTTCTCGTGGTGTCAAGCACAGGAATGTGACAAATACCAACGTTATTTTGAGCGGAGTACATGCTTTGGGATTTCAATACTACATAACTGTTGTATTCGTGTTAAGAGACTATGTTGCTGAACTAATCATGTATATGCCGAATGTCGATATGCGGCAGATATAAAGTATACACACACTCTGTGTAATTGGCTGTTGGACGAATACATAATAAAACAACGTTTGTAGCGAACTATCCAGTATAGTCGTACATTCTACACCAAGTTAGATTTATTTCACACGTCATGGGAACATGTTTCAAATAATGTCTTATGCAATAAAATGGTAATGGTTGATCACTCACCCGTCGCTTATATACCTCTATACCGCGCCATGTTTTGTGTGTGACTATGTCGTCTGCCGTTTTCTGTCTCTCGTCTGCTCGTCACGCGCAAACTCCCGCCGTTGTGTGCATGAGAAGGACGAGTCCGTCAGCTCCACACACTTTACATCGATTCACAAACTTCAGCCTCACAAGACAGTTAGCGACGACTCACTGTTCGATCAAACACAATTTCAATTTTTTTTCCACAATCCACAAAGAATCAGAGAAAACACTCAATAGAAATCCGGTGTATGATGTGGTCAGCTCGCATCCACCCGTTCGCCACCTCTAGTGCAGTCCGTGGACTAGCTGTGAAGCAGCGTTGGGCGGGCCATTCATAGGCCGAGTATAGTCCCCTGCCGTCAGGGTATCTACAGCAGGCAGGCAGGCAGGCAGGCAGGCTCTCGCAGGTATAACAGGGATCGTAGTCTAGCGGCAGTCAGCCTTCACGTTCATACATCGACTGGAGGCCTCTCTTTCAGACGGTACGGGCGACGATCCTGACGGTGCGATCTCCCCGACAGGCGCTGTTTCCCCCACCCTCGTCCGAACGACCACACCCTGGCCTACCTGGGTTCTTCTGATTTGTTTAATTTCAGTGAAGTATTTAAAATGTTAACTCGGTATCATACGTGAGGTGAAGACTCGTGCGTGTCTTTTGTCGTGAATCTTTCTACCGACATATTTACCCGGTCAGTAGAAAGTAAAAACTGGATTACGGGTGATTTAAGGAAACAATCATGATTGTATGCTTCGTTGTAATTTTTTTAAACTTTGTAAGATGGTTTGCAAAGACAGTAAAACAATCTGGGCAGTGGAGTTGGTATGACTGTGGTCACACAGACAATAACAAAATGGCTCAAACTTTGAGCGTTAGTTAATAATATCGACAACTACAAATGGAAGATGTAAACATTAACACCACTCGTGATAAAAAAAATTGTCCTCTGATATACATAAAACACAAATTGCTACAGTCTTTTCGTCATTTCAACACACAACATTCTGATTAACCATTATATAAACCAAAATATCTCTGATATTTACAAGTTGCTGAGATTAGGTCTTTTCTCCGCGGCCAGGGTGGAGGTGTCGCGGGAAATGTACAAATGGTAGATGTGAAATATTTACACAAATATCTCAGTCTACTGTTATTTGACAGCTATATGGTGGGGGTATTTCACACTTGAAGTGTGATGTCTGCCAGAGAGTAATGCGCGCGCATACAGTGTTTGCAGTTTCTCGTGAAACATGCACAAACTATTGATTGTATGACATAATGTATTAATTTTGACGAAGAGAGGTCGGTATAACTCAGTCTAAAAATGATCATGTCTTGATCGATGGGGCACAGCTACTTGAGCGTAACAGCCAAATTACTCGCATCATGAAATAGGAGTACTCCGACATGATGGGTACAGTCAACCGCAGTTTGTAAAAAAAACATACCCCCCCTCCCCCCTTCCCCCTAGCCATCTCCACCACACACACACAGTTGCAGGCTAAGTTGGGAGTGAAGCACACTAGCAGTATCTGTGAGATATGCATCCTGTTCAGGCGATATTAACTCCTATACATCATGTGTTATTGTGAAACTAGAGGCAGGATGGTTGTCTGGAGTGTGGAGGGAGAATATGGTGAGTCATGAAGGGAACTAGTAGTTCCTGAGACCTGAAGGAATAGTCGTCTTGAAACCTGATAAAATAGGACTTTACTAGATCAGAAACAGGAGAGATTAGTGTCGTACAATATCAGAAACTTGAGAGTACAGTACTTTGCTAGACCACAAACCGGAAATAATGGCGCTTTACCAGATAAGACACCTGTGAAAAGAGCACTTTATGAGATCAGACATCTGAGAAAATAGCACTTAACCAGATCAGACACATGAGAAAATTGCACTTTATGAGATCAGACACCTAAGAAAATAACACTTTTTAAGATCAGACACCGAGAGAATAGCACTTAAACAGATCAGACACCTGGGAAAATAGCACTTTATGAGATAAGACACCTGAGAAAAGAGCACTTTATAAGATCAGACACCTGAGACAATAGCATTCTATGAGATCAGACACCTGAGAAAAAAGCTCTTTATAAGATCAGACACCTCAGAAAACAGAACTTTATGAGATCAGACACCTAAGAAACTAACACTTTATACGAACAGACACCTGAGAGAATAGCACTTAACCAGATCAGACACATGTGAAAATAGCACCTAACCAGATCAGACACATGTGAAAATAGCATTTTATGAGATCAGACACCTAAGAAACTAACACTTTATGAGATCAAACACCTAAGAAAACAACACTTTATAAGATCAGACACATGTGAAAATAGCATTTTATGAGATCAGACACCTGAGAGAATAGCACCTAACCAGATCAGACACACATTAAAATAGCACTTTATGAGATTAGACACCTAAGAAACTAACACTTTATGAGATCAGACACCTGAGAAAATATCATTTTATAAGATCAGACACCTGAGAACATAACACTTTATCAGATCAGAAATAGTAGAGATCACTTTATCAGATCAGACACCTGAGAGAATAGCACTTAACCAGATCAGACACACGAGAGAACAGCCTTTTCCTCATGCCCCCTCTCTCTCTGTAGCACTCTCTCATCCCCCTTCCCCCTCTTTAGAAGTCTCCCCTTCTGATGATTTGCTTCGGGGCAGAGGTCAAACACTGGACTTGTAAATTGGCACATTTAAAAACTGCATATTTCTAGTGCATTAAGCCGAATGGGTTTAGGGCATGCGCATGCAATCATTACGACGGTGTCTCCATCCGAAAGGACGGTAATGACCTTGCGCGTGTCTCTGGTGTCTGCGGGGAAGACGGGGATGTGGTATGCAAGTCACAGCCGTGTCTCACTTAGCTTACCTTGTTCACCCACTGTTCCCGTGTAGCTGTGCCTCACTTAGCTCACCTTGTCCGTCCCATGTTCCCGTGTAGCTGTGTCTCACTTAGCTCACCTTGTCCGCCCCGTTCCCGTGTAGCTGTGTTTAACCTAGCTCCCTTTTCCACCCCCTGTTCCCATGTAGCTGTGCCCCACTTAACTCACCTTGTCCACCCCCATGTTCCAGTGTAGCTGTGTCTCACTTAGCTCACCTTGTCCACCCCCTATTCCCGTGTAGCTGTGTCTCACTTAGCTCACCTTGTCCACCCCTGTTCCCGTGTAGCTGTGTCTCACTTAGCTCACATTGTCCACCCCCTGTTCCCGTGTAGCTGTGCCTCACCTAGCTCCATTATCCACCCCCTGTTCCCGTGTAGCTGTGTCTCACTTAGCTCACATTGTCCACCCCTTGTTCCCGTGTAGCTGTGCCTCACCTAGCTCCATTATCCACCCCCTGTTCCCGTGTAGCTGTGTCTCACTTAACTCACATTGTCCACCCCCTGTTCCCGTGTAGCTGTGTCTCACTTAGCTCACCTTTTCCACCCCCTGTTCCCGTGTAGCTGTGCCTCACTTAGCTCACATTGTCCACCCCTTGTTCCCGTGTAGCTGTGCCTCACTTAGCTCACATTGTCCACCCCTTGTTCCCGTGTAGCTGTGCCTCACCTAGCTCCATTATCCACCCCCTGTTCCCGTGTAGCTGTGTCTCACTTAACTCACCTTGTCCACCCCCTGTTACCGTGTAGCTGTGTCTCACTTAGCTCACCTTGTCCACCCCCTTTCCCGTGTAGCTGTGTCTCACTTAATTCACCTTGTCCACCCCCTGTTACCGTGTAGCTGTGTCTCACTTAGCTCCCTTGTACACCCCCTGTTCCCGTGCAGCCGTGTCTTACCTAGCTCCCTTGTCCAACCCCTGTTCCCGTGTAGCCGTGCCTCACTTAACTCACATTGTCCATCCCCTGTTCCTGTGTAGCTGTGTCTCACCTAGCTCCCTTGTCCAACCCCTGTTCCCGTGTAGCCGTGCCTCACTTAACTCACATTGTCCATCCCCTGTTCCTGTGTAGCTGTGTCTCACGTAGCTCACCGTGTCCACTCCCTGTTCCCCTGTCTCACTTAGCTCACCTTTTCCACCCCTGTTACCGTGTAGCCTTGTCTCACTTAGCTCACCTTATCCACTCCCTGTTACCGTACAGCTGTCTCTCACTTAGCTCACCTTGTCCACCCCCTTTCCCGTGTAGCTGTGCCTCACTTAGCTCACCTTTTCCACCCCCTGTCATGGCGCACGCTAACCGTCTCCCCTGAGGCTAGATGAACCATTGACATCATAACATATCACTAGAATCTTTTTATTTACAATCATTTTCAAATTGGTACTGATAATATATATGACACCGTGCTGCCGGTTGACCTAGTATCCCCATCGGTCAGGGATACCGGGTGGTACATGCTACTTATCACTGAGAGGCCCGCGTTGTGATGAGAGGAGCCACTTCTCTCAGTCTGAAATTCGGGAAACTGGCAATAGTTAGCTCTCCACATCTGGGGTTGAACACTAACTTGGCAACATCCAACACGTCCATATCAAATATATCACCAGTTGAATTTACACCTGGATTAAACAGCGCGCACCTGCCAGGTAACGGGTATATCCGCCAGGTAGATACCGGTGACCGGGTGGGAGCGGGGCCTAGGGCCTGTGTCGGGGTAATCGGATATAACATGCGCCTTACTTAATGCTTCATCAAGTGTTGTCACCTTTATCATTGCTAATGGACTATATCGTACTTACCTGAATGGCAGGCCATTTGAGACCGGTAATTCCACCCTCCGGCACATCTACCTGTTGTCTACTGAGGAGAGAGGATTAGCTAATTAGACCAGGTGACACCCTGGACTTGTTTAGTTAGCTGATACAATTCGTCCCGGACACAATACAGAGTCGAAGTTTTCACGTATTCTGTTGTATGCATGTTGATGGTACAGTGAGTGAGTGAGTTGGGTTTAACGCCGCTTTTTTCATTATTCCAGTTATATCGCGGCGTGTCAGCTTAATGTGAGAGGAAAGCCAGAAGTGATGCAGGTCCTAGACGTTTACCACTTCGGTGAAACCCACGAGCACGGGTATGGTGCTGACAAACCTAGAAACATAATCGGGGTGAACCGGGATTCGAACCCACAATCAAAGGTTTCTGGCGTGTCCAAGGGACGCAACTCTGCACAGCGAATCACGGCGCCTTAGACGACTGGGCCACCCGTGCCCCTTTGATGGTACAGTTTACAGTGTACAGTTTACAGTGTACAGTGTACAGTGTACATACATTAATGTTAAGGAAAGTTTTAATATAGTTCGTAAATGAGGGCATGTCTCAAAGGGAACATGGAATGATGAAGTGATGTGATGATGATGTAGTTATGCAGTGATGATGAAACTTGGAATCATGATATTCTGATTATCCTTTTAGATGTAAAGGAATGGCCGTCATGTACAA